AAAGACGTGAGTGCAAATAAAAGACACATCTTGGGTAAGCTTCGCGACCGGGTGGACCTTTTATAGATGACACATGTATGACAAGATTCTTAACTCGTGACAGTTTATTTGAAAACTTTCCCCTTTCAGCATTGGATATCAACTTCTCTTAGCTTGTACATAAAAATTGGTAAACATTTTCTAGAAACAGGTGGATATCACGAGATTATTTCTCTCATAAAATCGAAACAGGTGGATATCACGAGATTATTTCTCTCATAAAATCGGTCTATGCCACATGCCCACATATTTATGATTATAGAAAGTGTTAGTTTTTTTTTATTTCTTTTATTTCTTTTATTTCGGGTAGAAGTTATTTGCTTCTAGCAAATCCATATTTGGTATAGCCAATATATAATCTATATAATCGTGCAATGTGCTTTTTTCTGCTGCTAAAAACTCATAGAGCAAACAAAACTTTTCGAACAACTATCCACGAGTTGAGTTTATACGTTTTGTGTAAAAATTAGCAATAAGATGGTATATTTTCTCACTGCATTGTTAGTTCTTTATGTTTTATTTCGAATCTCCAAAGGCAATGAAACAAGTGGCTCCACAAATAGAGGCTATTCAGGAACGATATTCTGGTAATTAGGGTGGTGGATTTTGGCCATAACGCATATATTGATACAAGAAAACAGAGAAGTGTTGTTATATTTCTTACTCAAAGACAATAATGCTATGTGAAAATTATGGCCTTGTGTTCTAGCTTAGAGCTTGTTTAAGTTTGAGAATCACATAATTGTTTATTTATGAGACTATGTGAAGGTTTTATGAAAAAATAGTTTACATGCCATTATTTGTGAAAACTTGTACACCCTTTTTGTGTATTTCCATGTTTCGAAAAAAGGTACAACAATCTACCTTTATACATACTTTTTATGTCTATAAGAAACAGATATTTGTGCAAATTATTTGCATGTTGGGCATTTATCCAATCGCGCAACGCGCGTAGAAAAACTAGTTAAGAAGATAAAGACATGAAAAGCAGAAAAGAAAAAGTGGAATGTAAAAACTAAAAAGGGGTATAAATGTTTTTTGTTTAAAAGAACTTACTACAAAGGGAAATAGAATTAATAATAAAAAAATGTCCTAAATGGAATACGTGATAGTTAACAAATAATGGAAAAAATAGTATTTTAAATAATGAAGTGTATATAGAGATAATCATATTTATTTGGGGCTATATGTGCGCCTATTATGAAAGGTTATATCGTGCGACCGGTGCACCATGAGGATGGTGTGCCCGGTCGCACTCTAATGTACAAAAAACCCTTATTAGCCCTAATTTTTTCAATTCAGCGTTGCCTTGAATCGATTTTCTTAGCCTAGAGCTCAACATGGAGTCGACGATGAAGACCTGATCGATTCTCTCAACCTTGGAGCCGGCAATCTCTTCTCCGCCGTTGACTCTCTTCACCACTGTGCTTTCCGCTGTGATTCTTATCTCCTTCTTCTCCTCTCTTCTTGCTCGCACCCACATCGATGCTCTCCCAGTCGCTGCTTTGGATTCCGGCTACATCCGTCGCCGTCGGCCTCATCCGTCAGTGTATGGAGATCCACTGCTGCAAAAAGAGTGATGTCGTCGTCATACGAAGCGATCTCTCCGTTGCAGATCAACTTTCAAAAACTCAACTAGAGTTTTTCTTATACAATTAAAATGTTAAAGATGACGGTTATGAATTATTTTAGACCTTCCACAATTTACATCTTGCGCACACTGAAGTTACATCAGAATTTGGCTAAAGTTACATAACTACAAGGGTGAGTTACATGAAATTTTCTTAACAAGTTACATCTCACTTACACGTGATTTACATTTTCTATAATGCGAGTTACACCACAATATATTGCGAGTTACACACCACTGTAATCGTCTGCTATTAAAAAAAATAGTTTTACAAAAAAACATATTTATAGTCCTGCTATTAAAAACAAAACATAGACACTATATATGTCAAATATATGGACAAATTGACTCCTTTGTTTCATTATTTACATTGAAATCAATGTTTTACTTCTTATACTTCATTTTAGACAACTTACATTTCAACTTGACTCAAGTTACATTTCCTAACAACGTAAGTTACATGTTGTTAAACAAGAGTTACACCACCCTGCTACTGAAACACAAAAAAAATCATTGTTCATCCGCGTCACTGTTCATGCATATTTTACTTCTGGGAGTACAGTGCTCATTGTGGGGCAGTACCACGGTATAACAAGTGGTTAGGGAGTGTTGGATATATGTTTTAACCTTTGTCAAATGTGTTTTTATTGGAAAATTAGTTGGAGAAGAAAAACAAAATGGCATTTTGCGAATAAGAATATTTTTTGAGAATATTAACCGAAATAGGACTAAAAAGGTTTGAAAATTTCAAAATAGGGCTGTCATGTTTTTATTCCCAAAATATGACTAATTACTGCCATGTTTTGGCAGTACCAGACTTCAAACATGTCAGTATTTTTCAAACTTGACAGTAATTACTCCTATTTTGGGAATAAAAAACATGACCGTCCTATTTTGGAATTTTAAAACTGTTTTAGTCCTATTTCGATCACTTTCCCGTATTTTTTGTTTTTATAAAAAAACTTCTACTTCTGTACTATTTTAGTTAGTTATCTTTGACTTTTCACTGAAAGATGGTAATTTTGACCAATTAACCCATATAAATTTATGTCTCTTTTTAGGCAACTTTCATACATGACCGATGCGATTTTTGATTAAAAAAAATATTCAATCCTCTTTACTTTTTTTTCATATGGACTTAACTCACACGTTAGAAATAGTGTAGCCTATTTGAACATTTTTTCATGAAATTTATATTCAAATATAGTTAACGACTTTTTTCATACAACAGATTTAGGAGTGGGCAATTCGGTTTACGGTTCGGTTTCGGTTTATTCAGTTTGGGAGAATTTGTACCAAATCAAAACCATTTGAATTTCGATTTGGTTTCGGTTCGGTTCGGTTTGAAGTTCAGTTTATCAAAGTGAAAATTATTAGGTACAGTTTAGTTTGATTTGATTCGGTTTCTTATGTTTATTACTACGTATTTTATTTGATCAAGTTCTATATTTTTTCATGTTTATTTGATTAGAACATGAAAGTAGTAGTCCATCTCATTTTCTTTTAATTATTTTTAAAATAAATTGTAAAATGAAATAAAAGATAGAAAAATAATAATAAAATATTAAAGATGATTAGCATTTATAATATTATCACGGTTTGGAGTTCGGTTTATCAAAGTGAAAAAATATTTATTTTTTCGGTCACTAGAAAAAAGTTTCACTTCTCACAAAAAGTAAATTTATAGTTGATTAGCATCTATAATATGACATAAAATATCCAAAAAAACTAAATGAGTCAGTGAAACAAATGTTGTAATATTCACAATTTTATTCAAATAAATCACGTAAAAAATATAAATACAATTTGTTATTGTTATCATTAAATACTTTTCGTACAGGTAGAGTACAAAACATAACAAATAAAAATATACCGTATTAGCTAATTTTGTCATAATAAATGTATGAAATGTGTGAAAGTCAAAATGATATATGCTAAATTTGTATTCTTCATGTCCAAATTATTTATTTATACCCTAAAGATGAAAAGTGAAGAAAAATATAGTGTGTGTGTATTACGAGTTGTTTGGTTCGATTTAGGTGTTTGGTTCGATTTACGTTTTTTCGGTTTTAAACTAAACTGAACCACCAATTGTCGGTTCGGTCAAACTGGTACTCGATTGGCTCCCAATTAATTGGTCTCCCAAAACCAGCATTTTGGGAGACCCTTTTTATTTGACTCTTTTGTGCTTGCATAGAGTTTCGACCTTGCTCAATATTAAGATGTGATTAAGAGCCGGTTTGATGACTCTCCAAAATTGAATCGCCTGATTCTGCTGAAATTTATGAAGTTCTGACTGAAGTGATTTGATTGGCTGATTATACTTATTTATGAAAAAATTATATTTAAAACATTTTTATTGATAAATGAAATAAAAAATTATATGAAAAATTAGCTAAAACGGTCTTCTACAGTAATTTCAGCCAATACAACCAGAAAAGTATATCCAACCCTATTTTTTCTTATTATTTATACAGAGTAATTCAGTGCGCAAAATCAAAAGTTACATGTTTGGAGAAAAAGTTGGCTAACTCACTCTCATTCTATAGGTCTCGGGTTTGAAACTCCTTGAAGGAAATTTCAAACCTGTTTAGTTAGGCTCTCTCTGCCCCTCCCCTAACCCAGGGCTCTGTGTTAAACTCACAAAAGCCATATTCGGAGTATGAAGTATTGTAACCTCACTATCATCATTCAAATTTTTAGTTTAATTCCCTACTAAAAATTGAAGGAATATCATGCCAGATAACCCATACGACAACATAAATGAGGCCCTTTAAACCACTGAATTTAAGGAGAATAAAAATCTCACCTCCTTTATGATTTCCCAAATCACATACCATTTGTTCTAAGGTGTTTGGTTACTACGAAGAATATACTCATCATCATCATTACCTACGGTGGGGTAAGGGGGGTCGGATGTACGCGGTCTTACCCCCGTACTAAAGCACAGAGAGACTGTTTCCGGATGACACATAGTGAAAATCGCGTCCAGAATGCATGGACTGACTGCAGCTTTATAACAAAGAAACAATTTAGTAAGTCATTTTGCTTTATTTCATCATATTTTCAAACCAAAAAATAGCTAGTGAGTCTTCGATTCCATTGTAAATGATGGAAAATAATTTTAGATATCTAGATAATTCAACAAATTATCAGCAAGGTTCTCAAATATTCGTGTTGAACCACTTGAATAATTGTAAGAAGTGAGTCACGCAAAACTTCACAAAGTTGCTAATTTTTCATGTCATTGAAGTACTGAACTGTAGTATCATTATTTGAACTATTGCTTATTTGCTTAGATTGTATTGACACCAACTCAAAGTGCATTAGTCTTGTACAAACAGAACTTATACAGTAATGTAAATCGCATTTATAAGCATTATAATTATCATTCAAACAACAATACTAAACTAATTGTATCCTCCGTGTGGATGGATATGCATTCATAAATCTAAATGATCCAAATCAACCCAGTAAATCCATTCGGCGTACTTATGATGAGGGGCGTAGTACTACCTCTACAATGACCGACACACACACGCTTAACATACATGATATTACCTTCAGAATGCCAAGCACGTTGAACATAGCATGATATCTCTATGAAAATATGACACACTGAGCAATAGCATGCTGTTATTTGTGCAAGAACATGACACATAGACCAGGTAATGGTTCTACCTTCACCTTGGCATGACACACTACTAATTTCACCAGAGCATGGCGCACTGCCAACTTCACTTGTACACATACATGGTTTTACTTTCAGGAAGCTGCGTTACTAGTGACAAATCTCGCAAATCATGGAACAATCCACATCAGTCCCGCAAATCACAGAACAATAGCCCATCAATTTAGGCATAGTGACCACATTGTCCAAATATTGTGTCTCATTATGTACAACGTAGTATAAAATATAAATGTATGTATTTCTGGGAAGAATGGATTAAACCAAGTACACTAAATATAATTATCTCTGTAATAATTAAACTTATTGTGTTTAATTATTTTCGGCCATCTTTTACCGAGTACGTAGTATTACTTTAAGATGGATGTAGTGCCATCAAGTATTCAAGTATAATATGGGGATTTGAAATAGTGTAATACTAATATGTAAACTCATCCTACTTCTAAGCCTATAAACATCCTCTATTTCATGTATGCTACTACAAATAAATCCTGCCACATCAACAACTCTCATAATAAAGCATAAAGAACTTATAGTCAACGCCATAATTGTAATGTCAATTTTATGATCATCTTCAAAGGAGCCATTTATACCCAGGTTGATGAATATGATGAATAAACTCATATTAAGATCTTAAATAGTATTGGGTGTACCAACTCATATATCGAAAGAGTGGAAATAAAGAATAAAAAAGTAACAATGTAGAGACTGTAACCTGCACAACAGATGCATGCCACCAACCGTCTTTTTTATGGTCCAAATTGATTTTTTTTAGCATTGATACAGGTAATTTGTATAGTATTTTTTAAGACAAGGTAGAAAAGAACTCATAACGTAGTAAGGAAAGTACTGTTATTTTATATATAAAAAATACTAGCAACGTAAATATACTAATAATTACCAATGAAATGCATCAAAATAATGGTTTGACATTATTGTCACATTAATGGACAATATTGGATTTATTGATGATGTAGGATTGCACATGGCCTTATAGGAGTAACTCTATATTCTAAGCATCACCTGTCATTCATTTGAGTAACATACTCCTTTATAGTAAGAGTAGTATACCATCATAAATGACCAGAGTAGGTAACAAAGGTAGATCAGGATATACAAAACAAAACAAAACAAAAATCTATAGTCATCCATGATTTGTTTGTTTAGTAGCAACTAGTAAGCTCTAACCAACTAAAAATGATGGTGCTTCTTACTACCTCCGTCCCACTATGTTTGGGACAAAGGGGTGTGGCACAACTTTTAAGAAAAAGTGGAATTGTGTGATTGGTATTGAATTGATAAAGTGTGTATAAAGTAAGAACGAATTGTAATCACCCAAATATTACCAAATATGGTATGTGACAAATTTAATGGGACGGACGAAAAGGGTAAAAACGGGACAAAGTTAGGGGGCGGGGGGATATTTGATAGCTTACCATAGTGGTTGTCTTCAACAACTACATTGCCATCATCATCATCATCTTTCTCCCTCTTCTGTTGTTGGGTGGGATGGTGGCACCTCTTGCACTTCACCGTCTTCATCTTCTTCATCCTCAACTCCTCCCCCACCTTGATTCAACTCGTGATCTACAGCAGCTCTGTTTCCTGGCTCCTCATCCATATCACTCAAGCCGCCATCAACCTCCACATGTTATGTTGGTTGAACTGCCACATGTGAACGGAAGATATATTACGCTTTTTATAAAAGTACGGAGTCATAAAAAGATTAGATAAAGCCACACAAAGTATCAAACGTTCATATTTTAATTTAATAATACTCCCAGAATCACTTCATATAGCACCCCACCATCGACTTCCATTCTCACAACTTTAGTAATGTGGGTAGGTTTAAAACCCACCATTTCAGTCTCCACCGCGCTGTCATTTCAGTCTGCAACGGACCATTCCACAGGTAGACTTTGATATAACTTAGTAGCATGGATCCAATACCATAATTGCCAGGACTTGAACTTATTATGCATCTACATGCGTATTTGACAAATTGTATAATTATCTTGCTGTTTAATTGATGTTTGTAATGGTGAATTTCCGTAGTTCAGACGATTTGGCTGGATCACGTAATGCATTAGTTAACTAAGTAATAGGCATTCAAAAGTACATAGTATTTGAATTGGCATGACTTAGTTTTTAGTACAATTTTCAAAAAGATATTACATAGTATTGGAAATAACTAAAGTAATAGTAGTGCACTACTGCAATCCTCTTAAAAGAGAAATATAAAAAAGAGAAATATAAACCAGAACTAAAACTAACCGGGAAAAGTTTAAAAAGGTGCAGTGAAGTTGAAGAACTAAGTCTGTGTTTATTGCAGAAAAGTCGTGCAGCCCTCTTTTGAAGTTTTAAAGGAAAACATGGGCTTTTTAAAAACTGACTCAACATAATTAAATTCTGATTTTACTATTGTGTAAACCTCACTGCGTTAGAAATGGCGTGTAGGCATCGGTCCCCAAATTGTGTAAACCTCATCCTTACCTGTTTTAAGCATAGCCTCATTGAGCATTATGTTGCAGAAATCACTGCAATGCGCCTTGACCCATAAAATCATTGCGTAATTTTGATCTCTAATTATAATATTTATAATCAAGTTTTAACTTTTAACAAAATAATCTGTTAATTTGAACTAAATGAAGACAAGAGGGTGTTTGGTAATGGTTTAACTTGTGATGAAATGTCTCAATCTACTAAATTGCTTAAAGTAGGAAAGTATTTTGTGGAATAGCAAGTTAAAGGCTATGATTTCAGCTGAGAAAGTAAATCAAGGTTATTTATTCTGTCCTGATAATAAGCAGACTTAAACAAGGAAATTTTTGTGATATTTTTTTTGTTTTCTTGAATGGACTGATTTATAAAGGTGAAACCTTAATGCTTATTATTGTTCATACTGACTGGTTATATTAAATTGCATAGTAAAGCATAATAAACTTTTGGCTGTTATTTCATAAACAGGAACCATTGGTATGGACCTCATCACCACTGGAGTTTTGAGTGAAGGGTTGGGAAGGGAGAGCCTGGCATTAGCCACTTGCAACCTCATTATGGAAAAGATACATCTGGGAGGGCCATCATATCGGTTGATTGAGGTGAGTAGAACTTGATTTTTCCTTCAAGAAGACTATTACCGTTTTCAGAATGTACTGTTCTTTTTTGAAAAGGAGAGGATATTGTCAACTTACACTCTGAATCGAATATGTGCGGATACTGGAAGAGTTGAAGAAGCACAGTTCAGGCACCAAACCTAACCTCAATGATGTAAATATCGCAATTGTATCTATGTATTCTTGTTGAATTATTTGCTGATATATCCTTATTTGAAATTTTAACATATGAGAATTGCACTCTACATAATACAAGTAGTTTTTACTTTCTCATTTAGCAACAAATCAATGATAAGTTTTACTTGACAATTCTATATGATCACGTACTAGATTCAGTAGATTGTACCGAGAGTCCGAGACCAAGACTTCCATTGTTTTAAATAAAACATTGATGTTTTATTATGCACTAATTTGATTTTTACATTCATTAATGCAAGATTTCAATTAACAATATAATTATTTATTCATTAGTGAAAATTACAATGGACATTGTGAAAATATACTTTAGAGATATACAATTAAAAAAAGATGACACCACATCCATGAGACTTTCAAAAACCGGCCGAATAGTTGTGTAGCAGGATGTAAGTTGAGCATTCATCACACTCTAATGGAAAGAGAGTGAGGTTCTACCTTAAATCATTGTTTGAAGTTGAACTCAGACATCTTCTGTGACACCTTCTTACCAGAGGAGTTACATTTCATGTGATGTGATTTCTTTATACCGAGTATGGTGTAGTAAAAATGTGTTCAAGAGTGAAGTGAAGTGTGTGAAAGTGTAAAAGTGAAAGCATCGTCATTAAAATATGGATGGAGCATTTAGTAAGGAACTCTTCATTAAAAATCATCTAGTATTACCCCGTAACATAAAAATGTTCCCATTTCAAAAATAAGTATGTTGGGGTATTGGGCCCAAGCCCAATACGATCGGCCCAAAGCATAAAGAAGGCCCAGGGAAAACAGGGAACCCAATGCAATCAGAAAAGTCCAAGACGTCCTGAACGGGGGATACCTGAACAACACTCGGGTAGATTTGTTCACTTGAGACAATCAAACAAAGTACTGGTATCCAAACACCCACAAAGGGGTCCCGCACGCCGGACGCACTACCCAGACGAGTAGTCAGTAAGTGGGAGCCGCATTTAATGCTGAATTATGGCAATAGCAAGTAGGGGCATGGGTGCACTCGTGGCAGAGGTAACAGCCTACCGGGTTCGGCCACGTGTCCATCTCACTCACCCCCCCCCCCCCCCCTCTAGTACAAATACCTGCGTTTAATATATTGTAAAGGGTTAGCAATTTCATACTCAGAGCTTAACAATAGAATCATCTCTCTTGTTCTTGTATTTGAACTCATACCGACCTACCGTTCGGGAAGTTTCAGTGTAATCACATAATTACGTAATACAAGTTAGCTTCTGAGTGAAACCTTAATTCACTGTTTTATATTTTATACACCTTTTAACCGAGACTAACATCCTTAATATCCAAAGCGTGTGTTGGGCTTTCGGATCTACGGGACTAAACCTCAACAAAGTAGATTAAAAATAGTGAAAGATGATATAAATTGTTGAAGATAAGATAGGAAGATATGGAAAGATAGTGGAATATTGTAATGGAATGAAGGATAAATCCAAAAAAATTGTAATAGTGTATTGTTTTCAAAATTATTGAGGGTATGATGGAAAAGTTTATAAATATGAAGATTTGTTCGTTTTGAACGAAAAAGAAAAGTGAGAAGATTTTTTTGTTACGGTGGAAATAAAATGCAATCTAAATTGGTCGAGTTTAAAAAGGTCTCATAAATTCTGCTAAATTCTACTAGGTATTTTAGTTTGAATAGGCATTGTAATGTTTGATGTAGAGTATTAATTGTATTTTACTCTAGAGTACTGTCTAGTTTGATCTATTCAAATGTGTTGCAGTATAATCTAAGCTAAGATCTAAATATGTTCAATTGACTAGGTTTAAGAATGTTTTCTTTTGGACTAAAATTTGTTGGTATGGTCTGGTCTGAACTGCTCTGATAAACGTTTGATCTCTGTGTATTTCATAACTATGGAAATCTAACCCAGTGGCGGATCCACTACTGTTCTAAAGTGTTCAAGTGCCTTGTATTCATGGTGACTTTGTTTTGCATAATTTGGAAAAATAGATTGCTGACATACTAGTGGCCGACTTAGTGCGTACTAGATTGCTATTGGTTTACTACTCTTCAAGGGAATTTGGAAGATATACTATACTTCTTTCCTTATTGCATGTCAATAAAATTCAATTATCTATTTAGTTGAAAATTCTTTCAACTGGTGTAGTAATTAAATGAAAATTTACTACTTTAGTACGGACGAGTAGGTTTTATTGAAATAGATAAATGTATAATTTGTTGTCTATTTAACACTATCGTAGTTTTTTATTGTAATGACAAAAGTGTATTATTCTTGTATAAATTAATACTCCATAGTATCATTTGAAATAGTAATTTTTGTGTGATTTTGAACACCCAAAATATAATTGCTAGATCCGCCACTGATCTAACCTGATCTGATCTCACTTGGAACTGAAAAGAATCCAAAAGAAAACATCATAACTTCCCAAACTCGGCAAAATTATTCCGACTATTCCCTCTTGAAAATTTCCTTTTGTACACGTTTTTATACCCATCAGTACACTCTTGTGTCTGTGAGAGTATTTTTTTGTCTGTGAAGCGCAGTCCACAGATATAAGTTGGCTTGTTTTGTCTATGAAATTTTCCACAAACAAAACAAGTCAGCTTTTGTCTGTGGACTGCGCTTCACAGACACAGACACATGCGTGTACTGACGGGTATAAAAACATGTACGCCAAGAATTCTTCATTCCCTCTTTAAACTTATTCAAGGTTAAATGAATTAGTCAATGGAATAGTATAAGACGAGTATGATAATGTTCGAATATTCCAATGTACCCCGAAGATAATGAAAGATGCAAGACCACACAATATAATGGATAAAAGAATCAACAGTTAATACATTTTGAGTAGTAATAATAAACTCATACTCCGTAATATCTTATTTTATCAAAATGAGAGTGAAAATATGGAAAGAGGATGAATCTTAAATTCTCAATTCATCCCAAAACTCAAATTTAATTTAATTCAGCCGAAGCACTGGCTACTGGGAATGATGGAAGCTGCTGGATCAAAGAATTGTAACCCGAAGACAGCTATCGCCGCCAACAAACTCAAATAAGACAACCCTTCAACCGCTCCTAACAACCCAAACGGTCCACTGGGCAAACCCGACCCGGTTTTGCTCTTGGTATACAATGACCAACCCACAATCGCCGCCGCCGCCAAATAGCTCACGCCTTCAAGTGCGCCAAGGGAGCCGCCAGGTCCCGGCGGAAGGCCGCAGCCGGTAGATTTGAGGGTGTAAAGCGACCACCCAATCACCGGCGCGGAGACTAATCCGCCGACGATGGCCACTTTCTCTGCTATTCCGGCTTGGCTTTCACCGTTCTGTTTCGCCGCCATTGCTCTGATTGCCTTGAGTGTGGGTGCGGGTCGGGCAAGTCTTTGGGTAAGGCTGAAATTGGGCGATGGAGGAAAGCATTTTGAGGGTGATGGGGAGATCAGCAGCGGCAGCATTTTGAGACTTGTAGAGTTGCAGTAATCGAGAAATGAGGAACGGGGTAATTGAAGCCGAGAATAATTGAGAGCCAAATAGCCAATCCCAAATTGTTATGTTCTTTGTGCTTGTATAGACTATGGATACGTTTGGCAAATGGCTTTATCAGCCAGTTTTTAGTTTGTTTGATCCATTTTAGTTGTTTGATTAGTCAAATAAGCTAATAATAATGTTTGGTAAATGACTTATAAAATTAGCATGTTGAGTTTGAAAAGCTGAAAAAATGGATGATTGAAGAAGCTAAGGGAAACAATTTCTTCATTCGGCTGGTTCAATTTACACTCTATCAGCCATTTCGAAACAGCCAATTTTACTAAACAATTATTTATAATCAGCTAACATAATCAGCCGGTCAAAACAGCTAACACAACCAGCTGTTAGGAAACAGCTGACACAACCAGCTAACAGCCATTTACCAAACAAGACCTATAGAGTTTCGACCTTGCTCAAATATTAAGAGATCAAGCATGTTTGGTAACACCAAAATCAGTTGAATCACCTGATTCTACTTCTGTATGAAAAAATTATATTTCCTTTTTCTTTTTGGGCAGTCTCTAAATTAAGTTCACACTTCAATACTTTCCTTATTTGGCAAATTATTTACATCCAAACAGTGTCAAACAGTGTTTAAACAATGCAGAACAGTGCACTCCACAGTAAAGTCAAATTTATTTTCTTAATATGTGTGAAGTCAAACCAGGAACTTAATTGGGGGACAGATGAAGCATTTAAGAATAATTAGCTAAAATTATCTTCTACAGCAATTTTCTGCCAATACAGCCAGAAAAATAACTTCTACCCTATTTTTTCTTATTATTTCACATTCAGCGAGCAAAAATCAAAATTTACGTGTTTGATGAAAATGTTGGTTGACTCACTCACTCATTCGAGAGTAGGCTTGGACCGGGACCGAGTCAACCGCCCCGTTACCCGGACCAAACAAGTACTGTGTAGTATCGACCCGAAGACCAGGAACAGGACCGGTCCAATAGGCCCGAACTGAGGGTATTTTAGGGCGGGACCGAGAGCTGAAAATGGGAACTAGTCTGGGACTGGCCAGGCCCGACCCAAGTCCCGGGCGGGTAGATCGGACTGGAACAGTCCCAGTAGAGTCCCGGACGGGTCCCGGTAGAATCCCGGGCCGGTACCGGGCCTTAACCCAAAAAATTTTTATCCCGGTTTGGACCGGTCCGGTTCTCGATCCGGACCAGACCTGGTCCATCCCAATTCGGGAGGTCTCAGGTTTGAAACTCGTTGGAGGAAATTTCAACCCTATTTACTTAGGTGCTGTTCTGTTCGTCTTATTCTTATTACTTATTGCTTATTCTTATTTTATTCAGATCAGATCAGAACAGATCAGAAAGATTCAGATCAGATCAGATCAGAAAAATTCAGATCAGATCAGATCAGAACTTAAAAAATTCAGATCAGAAACATTCAGATCAGGCGAAGAGAACAGCTTCTGGGGTAAAAAGAAAACTAAATGTATGGAGTATGGATTATGGTGTTAAACTTACAAAAGCCATATATATATATGAAGGATTGTAACCTCACTGTCATCACTCAAATTTTTATTTAAATTCCCTACCAAAAATTGAAGGATTATCATGCCAAGATAACCCATGCGACTCCATAAATGAGGAGGCCCTTTAAACCACTGAATTTAAGGAGAATAAAAATCTCACCTCTTTTATGATTTCTCAAATCACATACCATTTGTTCTAAGCTGTTTGGTTACTGTATAAATCTCACCTCTATTATGATTTCTCAAATCACATACCATTTGTTCTAAGGTGTTTGGTTACTGTATACTACGTATAATTTTAGATATCTAGATAATTCAACAAATCATCACCAAGGTTCTCAAAGATACGTGTTGAACACTTGAACCACGTGAATAATTGATGAGAAGTGAGTCACGCAAAACTTCACAAAGTAGCTAATTTTTCATGTCATTGAAGTACTGAACTGTAGTATCATTATTTGAACTCTTGCTTATCTGCTTAAGCTATACTCTAACTATTTTAGATTGTATTGACACCATCTCAAAGTGCATTAGTCTCGTACAAACAGAATCTATACAGTAATGTAAATCGCATCAATAAGCATTATAATTATCTATCAAACAACTATACTAAACTAATTGTATCCCCTTTGTGGATGGATATACATTCATAAATCTAAATTAAATGGTCCAAATCAAACCAGTAAATCCGTTCGGCATACTTATGGTGAGGGGCGTGGTGCTACCCCTCTACACTGACCGACACGCACACGCTTAGCATACATGATGTTACCTCCAGAATGGCAAGCACATTGAACATAGCATGATATCTCTATAAAAATATGACACACTGAACATAGCATAGTGTTATTTGTGCAAGAACATGGCATATAGACCAGGTTATGGTGCTACCTTCACCTTGGCATGACACACTACTAATTTCACCAGAGCACGGCGCGCCGCCAACTTCACTTTTACACACACATGGTTTTACTTTCAGAAAGCCAAGTTACTAGTGACAAATCTCGCAAATCATGGGACAATTCATATCAGTCCCGCAAATCATAGAACAATAGCCCGTCAATTTAGGCATAGTGACCACATTGTCCAAATATTGTGTCTCATTATGTACTATAAATCCATGTATTTATGGGAAGAATTGATAAAACCCAAGTACACTACATATAATTATCTATGTAATAATTATACTTATTGTGTTTAATTATTTTCAGTCATCTCTTATTATTTTAAGATGGATGTAGTTCCATCAAGTATAATATGCGGATTTGAAATAGTGCTGATAGAGTATATGGGCCTGGACCCCATGGCCCACATACTCAACGGCCCAAAAGACACCAGCTGGACACCCGCATCGGCCAGAGGCACGTAGCGTCCAAGAAAGAAGATATCGTCTGATTTATTTGGACGGCATCGTCCATGGACCGCATCGTCCATGGACCGCATCGTCCGTGGACCGCATCGTCCACGGACCGCATCGTCCGAACTTTGCCCAGACAGAATGTATCTTCCTATTTTATGTACTAAGTGTTGTACTCAGCCCATTAGTGGCCTTGTTTCGCCCAAAGAAGGCATGATTATTGTAATGGGCCTCCTAAGCCCAAGGCTAGGGGCCCAAATCCACATTTTTACCTATAAATAGACCCCAAGGGGCTAATTATAGGGGGTTCCAAGTGGAGAAATATAATTACTCACTTTCTCTCTCTAGCTCTCACTTCTCTCTAGAATTAATACTCTATCATTTGGTGCTTTCATTGAGAGCTAGAATATATCAAGTGAGATCCTCCCAACCAAAACAAACAACGTGGTAGCACCTCGGCCCCATTAGAGGAAACATGCCACCTAGCCTTTGCGTGTCGTGTATACTCCTCGGCCTAACGGAAGAACTCTGCCAATTAAACCAAAACAAGAGAAAGCCAAACAAAAAGGTGGTGGGAACTGTGGGACCTTCGGCCCATGTCCCTCATTGAATTCCCATCTACAGGAGGTCATGCCAACCGATGGGGGGAGTAATGCATCGGCCAAGAACAAATGCAGGCATTCCTTCGGCCAACTACAGCTAGAGCCATCCTCTGCCAACCTCCTCCTGTCAAACGGCTAGAGCCCCTCGGCTAAGCTGTAGAAATAAAGGCACCACATCGGCCTAGTTGGGGGAAGCATGGCCTTTCAGTCAAACATGTCCTTGACCAGAATAATGGCAGTAGAGTGGATTGACTTCCGGCAAAAACAACCCCTCGTCTCCTCCACCAGGTGATCACCGGTACCCAGGGCGTCACCTCGGCTAAGGGCCTCGCTTCGGCGATGGATATCACCCTCGTCCAATGGACCCGAAGCTGCAGATATCAGGACTTCTGCTGCGTCATCAGTGACAATCCTTGGGGAAACTTCACCTCGCCCGAGCAATCACAACGGCCGGCACACAACTGCCGGCACGCATCGGCCGCGACTCACAACGACTGGCACACATCTGCCAGCAAGACAACAAGCTAGCTAGTCTGCCACGCCATCGGTCAAAACACACCGGCCAGCAACTGCATCATCACTCACACGTCGGCCAAGATAAACACACATCGACCAACAGTTCAGTGTGTCATCGGCCAACTGTGCGGATGCATCGGCCAAAATAACAAGCCACAGAGGCCTCATCGGCCAGCCGGCATCCCATCGGCCGGCATCCCATCGGCCGGCATCCAATCGGCCGGCATCCGATTGGCCGGCATCCCATCGGCCGGCATCCCATCGGCCGGGAAACTTCGGCCAGCAACAACTTCGGCCCAGCCAGGGACAACATCAATGTGACGCATCGGCCATCACACTTCGTTCGGCGTCCATCGGCCGCATCGGACAGCACACATCGGCCAGAGGCATCGGACAGACCGCATCGGCCAGCATGTCATCAGCCGACATGAGAAATGGGGACAGCTTCAGTTCAGCCAGGACAACAAACTGGCACCTCGGCCAAAACGAATTGACGTTTTCACTCCAGCGACAACCCAGTACATCCCTCGGCCAGTATAACGTCTCGTCCGAGTATGCTCCTCGGCCAAACAGGTTCTTGGTCCAAAGTCGGAGTCACCTAGGCCAGGGCAGGCTCTCATCCGTCCCGTCGTCTCTGGTCACCGTCGGCGCCAAGACACGGACTCCTCGGCCAGGGTGGGACCCTCATAAAATCGGAAGGGCAACCACCATCCCTGGTTGCCGTCGGTGCAAAATTTCGGATCCCTCCGCCAATTTGGGGTCTCTCGACCAGGCGACGGAAGAGTTATGGCGCACCCCTGCCTGGGAGCAGCCTTCCACCTTGGCTTCGCGACAACGCCGGGATGGATTCGGGCGACCTCGCGAAGGCGCTCCCCACCTCGGCCTCGCGGCAGCAACTCTGTTATTGGACAGGATCTGAAGCTCGCTATGAGCTTAATTGAAGTGGTGGGCTATCAGCATATGGACCGGCTGTTTAATCTCAAGGACTCTGGCTGATTCTCAAAGAAAAGGCCCATCAATTTTATATCCCTGCTGGAATTCTAAGCAGGGCAGGCTTCGGCCCAAATACAAGTAAGTGCCACAAACTTTTCCTCCTATTTTATGCATTAAACATGGAGCAAAATAGTTTTATCACTATTAAAAAAAATATATATAGTTTTACTACTATTCCGAAAAAATAGTTTTACTACTATTCCAAAGAGAAAAAGAAAAATATAGTTTTACTACTAATCAAAAAGGAAAACAATAATAATAATTGCTATTATTATTATTATTTTCACCACCATTGCTAGCGGATTAAAATCCCCAATTGGTGCGGGCCAAAGCCTTAACCTTCCGAACATCTTTATTTGATGATTCGGATTATATTTGGGTCCCTTGACCTACCCCGGTCATCTTTATTTGATGACCCGAATATCTAGAATGAGAGCCATCATCGGCTGCACACGACATTATGCCTAAAAGCGGTACGCCTCATTCCCCTAGATGCTAATTGCGTCATCCAGAAGCCGTTGCAATAAACAACGCACCCAAAGCCGTCGCAATAAACGACGCACCCAAAGCCGTTGCAATAAACAACGCACTCAAAGCCGTTGCAATAAACAACGCACCTAAAGCCGTCGCAATAAATGACGCACCCAAAGCCGTTGCAATACACAACGCACCTAAGGCCGTTGCGATCCACAACGCGCCTACAAAGCCGTTGCATAGACAACGCACCTAAATATCGTATCGGCACAAGCGGTGAAACACCCAAATCGGCCGGCGATATGCAGGACGAAGGACCTGTGTGTATGGTCTGACGTCTTCAAACGGAGAAGCATACCGCGTCGTCCGCGCGGAAACCGCAGGACGACAGGCCTGAATTAAGGCTGAGGTTACAAAAACTCCACCCGTCAGTAAAATTTCGCTCAGGACCACAAAGGGCGGCCGTCAAAAGACGATGCCTAGTCCGGTCCCTCGTCGACGATAGACGTGGAAAGGCAAAAAAAGATGCCACTGACAAGCCGAGGGCGTATTTACTCCCTCGCACTAATCCACGCGAAAAGCGTAGCGGACAAACTACCGCACATGGACGAAGGGACAGTAACCCTTCGGCCACCCAAAAAAAAAAAAAAAAAAAAAAAAAAAAAAAAAAAAAGAGGGAAGCCGACGGACCGCGCACTTGCCGGCCTCGAGCAATAAAAATAAATAAATTCCCCAAACTTATTATTCATCTCAAAGACCGGCTCCCAATGCCGAAGCTTTTGCTCCATCAGCTTATGAACGGCCTCCCCAACGCCGTCATACTTTTATATGACGATCGGCTCATCATCGCCTCGTCATCATCCGGATCGGCTCATTATCGCCATCTGCTCATCACCACCGGGGCCCCCGCCTCAGCGTGATGCTTTATCTCAAGACCGGCTTCTCATCGCCGAGTGTCTTGAGCTAGCGACCGGGCTTGCTATTCCCTTCCAGGATAGCAACCGTCGCCTCTATGTGACGATCGGCCTCATCATCGCCTCGTCATCATTATCCAGATCGGCTCATCATCATCGCCATCCGTTTTTCACGATCGGCCCCCTCGGCCACGACGTGATGCTATATCTCAAGACCGGCCTCCTTAGCGCCAAGTGTCTTGAGCTAGCGATCGGGCTCGCCATTCCCCTCCTGGATGGCGACTGTCGCTTCTATATGACGATCAGCTTCATCATTGCCTCGTCATCATTACTCGGATCGGCTCATCATCATCGCCATCCGTTCTTCACGATCGGCCCCTCGGCCACGACGTGATGTTATATCTCAAGATCGGCCTCCTAAGCGCCAAGTGTCTTGAGCTAGCGACTGGGCTTGCTATTCCCTTCCGGCGTAGCAACCGTCGCCTTTATATGACAAAAGGGGGAGATCCTCCGGGAAAAAGAGGGAGATCGGCGCCCTCAGTGAAGATGAGGACGAAGAAGAGCCCCGCCAGAAGAAACATCACATTCACATCATCGTCGGCGGGAACACAGGGGGGGACTCGGCTACCCAACGGAAAAAATGGGCTCAGTCCCTATACGTTGGTGAGGTGACCCACGCCCCCCCTCAGCCAAAGCGGCGGCATGTGGAAGCCATCACTTTCACCGACAAGGACCTCCCCTTCGGCCCCTTGCCCCACAGGGACGCCCTCGTCGTCAAATGCGAGATTGGCAACAACATCATCCATCGCAACTACATCGACACTGGCAGCTCCGTCAATGTGATGTACGTTGATACATTCAGACAGCTGAAGCTGAAGAAGACCGAGCTCCGGCCGATACGGACTCCGTTATCCGGCTTCACCGGGGACTCTATCGATGCCGAGGGCACGATAGTGCTTCCCGTTGTGGTCGGTGACGGTACCTGTCAGGCAAAGATTGACATGGAGTTCGTGGTTGTCAACCTGGACAGCGCCCACAATATGATCTGGGGACGACCGGCCTTGGAAGACCTTGAGGCCATCATCTCCATGAAACATCTATGCCTCAAGTTCCCCACCAAGGACGGCGTCGGCTACGCCAGAGGGAACCAGAAGATAGCCAGGGCTTGCTACCTGAAGCTCACAAGGAAGATCAATGAGGCCGAGGAGCGGATCGACACTATCACCACCGCCTCGGCCCAAGAAGACACGCCAAAGGCCGAACCGGTCGGGGACGTGGAAGATGTTCCGTTGGACGTCTCCCGGCCGGAACGAATGCTGAGAATTGGGACGCAGCTCCCCCAACAGATCCGAAGGGACATCCTCTCTGTCCTGAGAGCGTACGCCATCGTCTTTGCATGGGGACCAGAGGACATGCCGGGCATCAGCCCAAAGGTTATCACACATCGGCTATCGGTGAACCCGGCCTCCTCCCCCATCAAACAGAAGAAGCGCTACCTCTCAGCCGACAGGAGGGAATTTGTCAAGGCCGAGGTGGCCATGCTGCTCAACATCAAGCACATCAGAGAGGTGAAGTACCCCACGTGGTTGGCGAACGTCGTCCTCGCCCCAAAGCCGCCTACGTTCAGAATGTGTGTTGATTACACTGACTTGAACAAGGCGTGCCCAATGGACCCATTCCCTCTCCCCAACATTGATTAGTTGGTGGATGAGACGGCGGGGTGCGAGTTGATGTCGTTCCTCGACGCGTTCAGAGGGTACCACCAGATATCCATGCACGAAGATGACGCGGAGAAGACCGCTTTTATGACCCCGGAAGGAATTTTTTGCTACCTCGTCATGGCCTTTGGGCTCAAGAACTCCGGCGCCACCTACACAAGGATGGTAGCCCGGATTTTTAGAGCAGTCTTAGGTCGGACGATGGAAGCATACGTCGACGATATGATCGTCAAGAGCAAACAATCCACAACCCATGCCGACGACCTCCGGGGCATCTTCGAAATCATGAAGAAATACAACCTCCGGCTCAACCCAAAGAAGTGCACCTTCGGCGTCCAGGGAGGTAAATTCCTGGGGTACCTGGTCAGCCGAAGGGGCATCGAAGTAAACCCGGAGAAGATACAAGCCATTATCGACATGGAGCCGCCCCGCAACATCAAAGAAGTGCAACGGCTGACGGGACGCCTTGCGGCCCTGAACCGTTTCCTTTCAAAGTCCGCGGAGAAATCGCTCCCCTTCTTCCAGATAATGAGGAAGGCCACCAGCTTCAAATGGACGACGGAATGCCAACAAGCCTTTGAGGAGCTGAAGCAATATCTCGCCTCCCCGCCCGTCTTATCCAAGCCCCAACCCGGCGAGACTCTCTTCCTTTACTTAGGAGTGAGCACGTCGGCCGTCAGCTCTGTACTCATCAGGGAGGATGACGGGGTACAAAAGGCAATTTTCTACGTCAGCAAGACGTTGCGGGAGGCCGAGCTCAGGTACTCCCCCATCGAGAAGACGGTGCTTGCCATCGTCCACACGGTGAAAAAGCTGGGGCACTATTTTCAGGCTCACCCCGTCCATGTCCTCACGCATCAGCCGTTGGGCGCCCTCATGAGGAGCCCAACCAGCTCCCCAAGGATGATCAAGTGGGCAATATTCTTGAGCCAGTACCAGATTGAGATAAAGCCGAGGCCATCCATCAAAGGGCAAGCCTTGGCTGACTTTGTCACCGAGTGCACGGCAAGGGAGACGGCCGTTACCACCACAGGAACTGAATCGGACGAAGCCTGGACCCTCTACACGGACGGGTCCTCGGCCACCAAAGCTTATGGGGGTGGCGTCGTCCTCATCTCCCCGGAAGGATTCAGAGCGTACTACGCCATCCGCTTCAACTTCAAAGTATCCAACAATGAGGCCGAATATGAAGCGCTCCTCAGCGGTCTCAGGTTAGCCGCTGGCCTCAAAGCACGCCACGTCAGAATCAAATGCGACTCCAAACTCGTAGTGAGCCAGATGGAGGGTTCCTACGAGGCCAAAGAAGGGAGGATGAAGCAATACAAGGAGGCCGCTGCGGAATTGCTCAAGGCGTTCGATACCTACGAGATCACTCAGATCCCAAGGGCAGAGAACGCCGAAGCCGACATACTCTCTAAACTCAGCTCCGACACCCCTGAGCACATCTCCAAGATAGCTAAGGTGGAGGAGTTGAGCATGTCGAGCATCCACGCTAGCCCTATACTCTCCATACAACACCAGCCGGAGGATTGGATCACTGACATCGCAACCTACATCACCTCCGGCGCATTACCCGAAGACGAGGAGAGGGCCAAACTAGCCAAGCTCAGGGCTCCTAGCTATGTCATTGAGAGTGACAAGCTCTACAAAAGATCATACAATGGCACCCTCCTCTGGTGCCTCCACCAGAATGAGGCCGAAGTGGCCATGGAAGAAGTCCACTGCGGCGTATGCTCATCACATCAGGGGCCCTTCAGCATGTCGCGCCGCCTCGTCGTCCAAGGCTACTTCTGGCCGACGATGGCGCGTGATTGTGCTGAGGTCGCCCGCAAATGCAGCGCATGTCAACACTATCAAAGGGCACCTGGCCGACCAGCCGTCAACTACGTCCCGGTCAGCACCGCCATTCCATTTTCCAGATGGGGCATCGACCTCGTCGGCCCTCTACCAAGAGCTGCGGGCAACAACAGATACATCATCGTCGCCATCGACTACTTCACCAAATGGGTCGAGGCCGAACCACTTGCAAGCATCACCGGAGCGCGGTGTCGAAAGTTCGTCTACAAGAACATCCTCACCCGCTTCGGCGTGCCTCAGGAGATCATATCAGACAATGGCACCCAGTTTGAGGCCGAACCGTTCCAAAGCCTCCTCCAAGAATGGGGTATCAAGCACCGCTTCTCCTCCGTTGCCTACCCTCAGGCCAACGGGCATGTTGAGAACGCCAACAGAACCATCTTGGAGGGGCTGAAGAAGAAGCTTGAAGAAGAAGGCGGAAGTTGGGTCGACGAGCTCCCCAACGTCCTATGGTCTTACCGAACCACCCCAAGGAGAGCCACCGGGGAGACGCCATTCTCTTTGTGCTATGGCTTTGAAGCCAAAGCTCCCACTGAGGTGACGCTTCCCAGCCGACGGGTCACACAATACGATCCCGAGGCCAATGAAGAAACAATGAAGGAGGACTTGCACCTCATTGACGAAAGGCGGGAGATGGCCTACCTCAGAGCGGAGAACTACAGACGACAAGTCAAATCCTACTATGACGCCAAGGTCCGCTCTCGCGAATTCCAGGTGGGGGACTACGTCCTCCGCCGAAGGGAAGCAAGCAAGCCGACGGAAGGGGGAAAGCTCGCCGTCAAATATGAAGGGCCCTACATCATCAGCGCCGTCATCAAAGCCGGCACTTATAGACTAAAGAACCCTAATGGGTCAGATGTACCACGATTGTGGAATGTACACCACCTGGTGAAATTTTACCAATGACGCGAGAAGCGGTGAAGCGGGCAACGTCCCCCACCCCTCGGCTTATTGGTTGAATAAAACACCCTCGGCCTAGCGCCACTTATTGAATAAAATTCATGTTTCATCCAATCTCTTAAGATTTGAGCAAAGGGAAACCCAAGGACCGCATCGGCCTAAGCGGTGCAAACACCCGGGACCGATGCGACCTAAAGCCGTCGCAATAAACGACGCACCTAAAGCCGTCGCAATAAACGACGCACCTAAAGCCGTCGCAATAAACGACGCACCTAAAGCCGTCGCAATTAACGACGCACCTAAAGCCGTCGCAATAAACGACGCACCTAAAGCCGTTGCAATAAACAACGCACTTAAAGCCGTCGCAATAAACGACGCACCTAAAGCCGTCACAATAAACGACGCACCTAAGGCCGTTGCGATCCACAACGCGCCTGCAAAGCCGTTGCATAGACAACGCACCCGAATATCGTATCGGCACAAGCGGTGAAACACCCAAATCGGCCGGCGATATGTAGGACGAAGGACCTGTGTGCATGGTCCGACGTCTTCAAACGGAGAAGCATACCGCGTCGTCCGCGCGGATACCGCAGGACGACAAGCCTGAATTAAGGCCGAGGTTACAAAAACTCCACCCGTCAGTAAAATTTCGCTCGGGACCACAAAGGGCGGCCGTCAAAAGACGATGCCTAGTCCGGTCCCTCGTCGACGATAGACGTGGAAAGGCCAAAAAAGATGCCACTGACACACCAAGCCGAGGGCGTATTTACTCCCTCGCACTAATTCACGCAAAAAGCGTAGCGGACAAACTACCGCACATGGACGAAGGGACAGTAACCCTTCGGCTACCTAAAAAAAAAATATAATAAAAAAAAAAAAAAAAGAGGGAAGCCGACGGACCGCGCACTCGCCGGCCTCGAGCATAAAATAAAATCCCCACAAAAACCAAAGCCTCAAAATCGGCTAAGTACATATCAGGTTCTCACCTAACAGGAATCCGAGGCGCACGCTTCGGCCTCAACCACAGCTTCATAAAAAGGGAATCGCTTCGGTTTCGGTTATACAAAACTACATGCAAGTGTTTGGGCGACGGGAGCGCATCGTCTCCGAGTAACAAATCCCAAACGGCGAACTGAGGCAAAAACACCATCAAGTCAAGTTTGACACTTTGAAAAAAAAAAAAAAAAAAAAAATCAAAGTCACATTCAAAGGAAGCCGAGGCGCTACCAGCCGTTATCTAGGTATCGCTTCGTCCTCAACACACCAAAACGAAAGCAGCACACCAAGGGTTGACGAGGCACAGCGTCCCCGGTGATAACAAATGGAAAGAGGACCACTACGTCTCAGCGGACGGATGTCACAAGATAAACTCTTGGCACTTAGAAAGATTTCAGAACTTTGGGGCCATGCCTTACCTAAGACGCAAGGGACGTAACATTTGGTAAATTTTTAAAAAAACATGTTCTAAACACAACAGTTCAGACGAAGGGGCGCATCGTCCCTATTATAAGATGCAGGGAACACGCGCAACGTCCTCACACACATACCAGTAAGGTGAGAGTACCCCCACATCAACACAAAGGAAACGATGGAACGCATCGCCTTGGACTCGGCAAATTCGACAAAGTAAAAACTTGCGAAGCAATGTCATTCAGACGACGCGACACCACCAAACCAGACACCAAACATAAAAGAGAAAACGAAGCGAGGAACAACATTCATACTTAGAATAAAAAAGTGTTATCATTAATGATTCAAGATTGGGGCACATCGGCCATTACAAAAAAGGGCGCTTCGGCCATTGGGACTACTACTACAAATGAAGAAACTAAGTACAAGGAAACATCAGGCAGCTTGTCCCTGGCCGCCTTCAACGGCTCCGCTGTCCGCATCGTCCTGCTCGTCATCGGTATTCTTAGACTTGGCCGAGCTCCGGAAGAGGTAGTCGTCGCTCTCGGTCCAGGGCCCGTCCTCCTCGTCTGAGCTAAGAATGGGGGGCTGCCTCTCGGACAGCGGGAGTTTCAACTCCTCCTCGGGGTCCTTCATCAGCCGGGGAAGGCCGATACCCCTGGGCTTCAAGTTCTTCACACGCCGGCGAAGACGGCGGTAGACCAACATCTGCATACGCCTCTGGCCGAGGTCGTACCAGACTTCAAATTCCTGTTTGAGGCAAGCTCGGCCAGCTTCCTCCTGAGACCACGCTTCAAAGCGCTCCGCCACGACGTTATAACTCCAATCGCGTCGGGCCTCGTCTTTCCACCCTTCGGCCATGAAGAGCTCAATGGCTTTATCGGCGGCCGCAGTCACCTCGGCCTCTAGCTGTGCAGACTTTTCCTCGGCCAGCCGACGGGCAGCAGCTTCCTCATCCAGCTGAACTTTGAGGCGCCTCGCCTCGTCCTCAGCAGCAACGGCTCTCCTTTCAGCCGCATCAGACTTATCCTTCAGGGAGTCAGTCTCAGTTCGAAGCCGCTCCAACTGGGAAAGCGCCTCGTCAGCAGAAGCGGCTTTCTTCTCAGCCTCCCGAAGGCGAGCAAGCTCC